GGATGATAGTCCTAGAATGCATCCATACATCTGGGAAGATGTTCGGGAGTCTTTAGAAGGAGAGCACAGGGGACGGACAATAGACACTTGGAACCTGAGAGGCGAATGGGACCTTGGCACCCTGATAGTTTTTCCTTGGCTTGCATGGAGCAGTGAGGATCCCACACACAGGTCCACCCACAAGAATTAGCCATAAGTGGTCTCCAGACCCAGAGGACACGGGTCTACTGTGTGGACTAGCTCAGCTGACCCACATTCTTCCCTAGCCATGGAGCCTTTATACCTTGTCTGAGAAGGGAGCCAAACTCTCACCCAGTCAGAATAAAGGTCCTGACTGTGGTCAGGGGATTTGCAGCTGGATTTGGGGACCATGACTGTAGAACCATTGCACAAGACTGGCAGAGAAGACACGAGGCACCTGAAGCATTTCTGTGAGAGTGCAGCAAGTCACTTCTCTGTGTGGTGTGTAAACAGAGCAGGGAGCTCGGAGCTGCGGTTGTTCATAGTCCTACACTGCTCTGTGCAAGCGTTGAAGTCTTATCACCCTCCCCTTTCTGGGGCCTTTGCTGCAAGATTATCCTCATGGTCATTGGGAAAAATCTTGCCAGAGCTCCGGAATTTCTTCCAAAGCATTGTGGGAAGTTTGAGTCAAACAAGTGACCTGATGTAGGGAGGTAGATAGCAAGTAGGAGTGACATCTTCCATTTGTGCCCAAGTTCTTATGGCATGTGGACAGCTGATCATAACTGCTTTCTATGGAACTAGGGATTGACCTCAAATCTTCTTCAATGGTGCAATGTGGGCAGCCATTACCATAGTACCAATAAAACCCACGGTCACGACTGGAGCATTGCGTTACGGGCACAGGGCCTCACCAGCATCCAGAAAAGGCCATGAACCTCACCTGGGGACACTTTGTTCCTGGAGGTGTCCCACTGTTCACAGTGCCCATGACTAATAGACAGCTATCAAACTGAAAGGAGATAGCCTTCATACTACATGATAGTGCAGACTCTGCAGTTGGGTGTACAAGCCACCCACTTTCAAATGCAGCTTTCACTATGCCCATAAGGACCTGGGGGTACTTCGTCTCAGAGGGTTTTTCCAGTAACAGCCCTCTCAGCTGGTGAGAGGATGACTGTGGTCATAGCGACATTTGTTGTGACAATGACAAAAAAAGGTCTATGACACAGGTCACAACTTAACCACTATATTTGCATTTGGAGTCAGTAAAAGATCATAATCTCTGGCTTATCCTAGCCATAAACTTGGAGGTCACCTTGCTGCTCCCCTCTTAGGTTAAAAAGTGAGGTACAACTCAGGTGTAGAGTATTGGTTTGCTCTCATGACTACTCCAGGCAATGAAGTCATTTGCTGTCCATCTTCAGTGTGCATAAAAATTCCATAAACTATGTCGAGCAAGCCCTTCCCTTGTTTTGTTGGGGGAGGGGAAGACTCGGGCCGTTAGACAAACAATCTCTAACTCTCCCATAGTTTCAATTAATGTTCTCCGACATTCATGTGGGAAGAAGGCCCTCATGGAGTTTAAATGATTTGTTCAAGATAATATAGACCCTGAGGGGTGGGGCCAGAATGGAACAACCTCCACCCTGAGTAGGAGGCAAGACTTCTCAGTCACCCATTATTCATTCTGATGTGGGAATGAGGGATCTCTTGGCATGGAAGCAATAGAAAGACCAAGACACACATTTTGAATAAGACATTCAAAACTTCTCTGGGGATAAGGATGAGAGAAGGGCAGCTTGAGGATATCCACCAGACCATGCCACACAACACAGAGTGCAGCAGGCTTTTATTGGACTTTATAAGAATGGCCTACTTTGGTAAAAAAAAAAAAAGACACCTTTACATTATACAAAAGAAGCTAGGTAACTGTTATCTAACCCACAGATTAGGGATGCTATCTTCAAGCAAAGGTAGTGGGGTGTTACTATATTGCTCACCTCTGAGCTAGGCAAAGGGATGCTAGCTGTATCGGATGGGTCCTAGGGCTATCATCTAGTGTCTCTTGCTTAGCAGCACCCAGTGGGTGCTTGTCTGAACAAGCTGAGGGTTCAGGGAAGACCCTAATAAACATTCTCTTTGTGTGGCCTCATCCTGTGTTTTACAACAAAGCCAAGAGAGGTAAGCATTGAGGGTGAAGGAAACACATGATCTCATGTCCTTGTGGTTGTTCCCATCCACTTCAATTCCAACTACTTACTAAATACCTAATAAGTACTGGGTAGCATTCTAAGAACAGAAGATGTAAAAGCAAAGAAAAAGAAAGGGTCTTTGCCTCACTAGAGTTAGAACCTAACAGGGGGAACAAAGTGGTAATACTGAGGATGTGGACTGTGTTGGATATCCATTGGTGGTAAGGGAAGGCAGAGCAGGCAAAGGACATAGAGAGGAGCTTGAACAAGGATCAGTGTGATGACCAATGCTGTCAAAATGACAGACTCCAGAATCACCTAAAAGACAGCCTCTGAGAGATTATCCAAATGAAGTTAACTGAGGTATGAAAAGCCACATCAACTATGGGCAGTACCATCTCTTAGGTTGGGATCCTAGACTGAATGAAAAGAAGAGAGCAAGCTGAGAACCAGTATCCACCTCTTTCTCTGCTTCCTACCATGGAGGCAATGTGGCCAGCTTCCCCAAGTTCCTGCCACTATGATTCCCTCACCACAATGTACTGTACCCTCAAACTGTGAGCCAAACGAAGCACTTTTTCTTTAAGTTGCGTTTGTAGGAGCATTTTTCACAGCAAAAGAGCAAGTATATGTGTGTGTGTGTTTTCATTTTAATGTATGAACATTCTGCCTGCATGCATGTATGTGTACCATGTGATATATAGTGTTCCTGGAGGTCAGAAGAAGGCATCAGATCCCCTGGAACTGGAGTTACAGATATTGTAAGCCAACATTTGGGTGCTGGGAGTTGAACCCAGGCCCCCTGCAAGAACATCAAGTGTTCTTAATTGATAAGTCATTTGTTTCAGGACCCACCACTGACCCTGCATATTTTCTTTAACTATAGGGTTCCTAACTATCCTGGGAGTTGCCAAGTAGGCTAGGTTGGCTAGCCAGCAAGCCCCAAGGATCTACCTACCTCTGCCTCTCTAGTGTTGGAATTACAAGCACGTGACACCATGCCCCCACCCTATTAATAAAACATAGCTTCTAGAGATTGGACTCAAGCCTTGCACTTGCAAGAAAACACTTTACTGACCAAACTATTTCTGCAACCTGCCTTAGAGTGATCTTAAGTAACATTTTAATGTAACATTGACACTCACTTTAATTCTCTTCCAACCAACCCATGATAGGGTTGAAGTTTCCTATAGAGGTACATGGAACATTTGAGCCCCAGTTTCAGAGAATATAAAATCTCACCCAGTGACCCAAAACTCTTTACTTCCAGAAGTGGCAGCAGAATAAATGGATCCTGAAAGTGCTCAGGGTCAAGGGCTGGGCCAGAGCACACAGGCCGATGAAGCATCCAGGGTATCCTTTTGCTGCAATGCAAACCAGAAGGGACGGGGAGAGGGACCTGGCTCAATCAGGCTGTGCCTGCTCCTCCTCTCTAATCTCAGCATTTACTGTGATGTCACCAGGCCAGGCTCTGCCATGCATTTGTGATGCCCAACTGTGGCAGCTGCGGCTGCTGCTGTATCAGTGTAGGCAGGACATCAAGGTGGGCAACATCGGACTGGAATGACAACATGATGCTCTCCCTTCTAATTGCACTGTTCATGGTATCTAAGGGACATGCCCAGGACTACCAAGGTTAGTGTCTGGTTAGCCCAGAACAAAAGGTAGGGAAAAGCCTGCCATTTCATCACTGGGCCCTCTAGAGTGGATGGGGAGCTCCAGGGGGTATAGAGTTAGAGGTCTCTAACCCAAATCCAGAGAACATAAAATCTCACCCAGAGACCCAGAGCTCTTCACCACCAGAGGTGGCAGCAGATGGAATCTGGCTCAGGAAATGAGGGGACTATGATTCATTATTGATCATAGCAGATTTATTGCACTAGTTGAGGATGATACCTACAGTGAATCCCCTAGGATCGGGGCCCAGAGTTCTAGAAGCACAGGGGACTTGGGGCAAGATCAACAGCTGGCTATATTTCTCCTACTCAACTTTCTTTCTGTAAATGAATCAAGGTTCTTTCTAGATCCAGATCCTGAAAGAGGCAGCAGAAAGGTGTGGAGTTGAATAGGGATACATTTAATTTAGAAAATATTTATTAGGTCACATAATATGTAAGAATTTGGTTCATGTAACATTTGCTCTGTGGTCCTGGGAGATGCTCCATAGAGAAGTTCTGTAGATAGACCAGATATGCAAATGTTTGGTACTCTTTCTGCAGAATTACAGTAGGACCCCCATAAAAGGATGCTGATGTGCATTATAGTTCACAGAGTGGCTTTGCTGTATTTAACCAGTTTTTCTTACCTTATCTATCTATCTATCTATCTATCTATCTATCTATCTATCTATTTTCATCCATCTATGTGTTTGTGTGAGAGTGTATGGGGTATGTTGTGTACTCATCTTCCTGGAAGCCACTCACAGCTATTTTATAATTCTATCAAGCAGCAGCATTAATAGGTAAATTTCTGTTGCTTTTCCTCCCATTGCTTTTCCATCACTCTTTAAACATAGGGTATGTGTTTATGATTTCTGAGGCAGGTCCATTTTTTGTTAGTTTGCATTTTCCTGCACTGGCCATTTTCAGTTTGGAGGTATTTTCTAAGATCTGTCCTGTGAACTTTCTCATTTGATTTCCCTCAGATGCCACCCTGACCTTAGCTAGGAAGGTTCTGGGAATCTGAAATGAGGATTTCTGGTCTGGGCCCCTTGTGTCCGGGCCCCTCATGTCTGGGTACCAATTGTCTGTTTGCTTTCTCTCTCAAAATCAGTTCTGTGTGGCCACAGACCTGCCTTCCCAAACTCATCATGGTTGCCATTCCGTGAGCTGCTTGAAGTCCAGAATGGTGAATTCCCATGGCAAGTGAGTATCCAGATGCTTGGGAAACATCTGTGTGGAGGCTCCATCATCCATCAGTGGTGGGTTCTGACGGCAGCACATTGCTTCCCAAGAACCCTGTAAGTGTCTGGGCATCGCCTTAATTTATGTCACATGTAGTACTACTCATGCAGTCTGGACTAGTCACTAGTACATGAAGCTTTTGAAGGCATAGGCTCCGCGTCCAATGGCTTTGGATTGAAGTCTGCTCCTATCTACTCATCCCTCTTGACTTGATCAACTATATCCCAAGTTGGCTGCTTCTTGTAACTCAGTGTTAGAAAAATCAGTGTAGGCTTCCCTTTTCCTGCCCACCACCTGGACACTAAGACACATTAAATTCATTCATTTACTCATTGTGTATGCATTGGGCACCTACTGAGTACAGTTTTAAGAGGTAGGTATATAGCGGTCAATAAGAGAGCCAAGATTCAGCCGGGTGTTGGTGACGCACGCCTTTAATCCAAGCACTCGGGAGGCAGAGGCAGGTGGATCTCTGTGAGTTTGAGGTCAGCCTGGTCTCCAGAGCGAGTGTCAGGATAGGTTCCAAAGCTACACAGAGAAACCCTGTCTCGAAAAACCAAAAAAATAAAATAAAAAAGAGCCAAGATTCCTGTCTCTAACATGTTTACATCCTCTTTTTTCAATGGGTACATTATAGTTTTGTTGGTCAGACCTTCCCCTGAGCTACTGGTTCACCTGTTCAGAGATCCATCTGGGTCTGGTCCCTGACTCTGACCGCCTTGGTCTCTCTAGACTCCCTGTCCACAGCATACCCACTATTCTATACTACTTTGTGGTAAGTTCTACTGTTTGGAAATGTGTCTGGAGATATACGTGCCCCATGACCATTGTAAGCTATGGTGCTTTTGTATTCATTCTTCAGATTAGAAGTGGCAGTGGTGAACATCACTGTAGTCATGGGGACCAGGACTTTCAGCAACATCAACTTGGAGAGAAAACAAGTGCAGAAGGTCATTGTTCACAAAGATTACAAGCCGCCCCACCTCGACAGCGACCTCTGCCTGCTCCTGCTTGCCACACCAGTGCAATTTAATCAGGTCAAATTGCCCATCTGCCTGCCACAGAAGGAGAGGTCCTGGGACCGGTGCTGGATGACAGAGTGGGCACCTACACGTGGCTACGGTATGCACCTTGCCTTATTGCCAGTATGAAGATCACTTATAGGCTGCCTTCTGCTGAGCAGAATGATGGTTTAGATGGGGAAGACTCAGGTTTGAATTTGTGGCAGCATTCATTACCTTCATTGTCATCATTTTTGCCATCCCATAGAATAACAGCAATGCCTCCCTCAACTAAATCATGTAGATGAAATAAATGAAATTATGTAGATAAAATCCCCTGCAAATACATGAGACATAGAAGAATCTCAAAACTTGAAAGCAATGGTCATTTTCATAGATTCCATAAAAAGTGTTTGGATCACACATCTGTTAGCCTCACATAGAGTCCACCATTTGCTGATATAATCAAACCAGTGGTTTCCCTGGGGCAGTGAGTACCAGCGTCTCCACTCATTTTCCTGCAGAGCACCAGGCTGATCACTCATGGACCATGAGTAGAGAGAAAGCCAGGATTTCCTTTAGCACTGTGGTTATTTCCCCTAGAAGATAACTGGTGTACCTCCATGTGTCTCTGTTCATTTCTCTAAAGACAAGATGTGGGTCACTGTTGCCCAAGCACTTGGGCTGCTCTAAACTTCAACATTAGGACAAAGGTTAGCTTCAGAGCAAGGATAGGGACACAGAGAAATCTCCATGTAGTGTCGCTGGTAAGGGACTGGCTTGCTTCAGAGGGATGATTTGTTGGGACACCTAGATGACAGAATGGAGTCTTGCACTAAACCATCCATACTATAGGACTTGTGAATCTGACTTTCTGGCCACTGCAACCCTCCAGGACTTCCACCCTGATGTGTGTGTGGTGCTCACTGTTAGCAGCCAATGCATGCTCATTCTCAGGCTAGCTTCCTTGCTTTTCTAGGCTCAACCAGTGGCTTAAACATGCACCTGAAGAAGCTGAGGGTGGTTCAGATTGAATGGAAAGTATGTGCCAAGAGGGTGACTCAGCTCTCCAGGAACATTCTTTGTGCCTGGAAGGAAGCAGGCACCAACGGCAAGTGCCAGGTACTCAGCCCCTGCCACACCCTTCCTCCCCACACCCCATGATTCTTAGGTTCCCAGAAGGAGTCCGGGAGGGAGGCTCTTGCTTATACTACTAGCCACCCCTTCATATCCTCTTGCTGGATGGCTCCACTGGCCTCTCACACATAGTGTTCCTTGCTTTTCTCATTCCCAGGGAGACAGCGGGGCACCCATGGTTTGTGCTAACTGGGAGACTCGGAGGCTCTTTCAAGTGGGTGTCTTCAGCTGGGGCATAACCTCCGGTTCTAGGGGAAGGCCTGGTATGTTTGTGTCTGTGGCTCAGTTTATCCCGTGGATCCTGGAGGAGACACAAAGGGAGGGAAGAGCCCTCACCCTCTCAAAAGCCTCAAGAATCCCCTTGACTTGCGTTTCGCGATGCTCCATATTGTTAAGCTTGGGGTGTCAAATACTGCTTGCTGCCATGTTTGCTGGGGATATATCAAATTGCTAAGCTCTGAACCTATTACTGTTTGTCAAGTCTGTTCTCTCCCAACCTAGTACAAGCATCCGAGGTTCCTCGGACTGACTATGGGTTGGTCTCTACATCAGATGAGTCAGCCACAGACTTAGCTCCCTATCTTATGCTTTAACGTAATAATGTCAAACTCCATGCCAAAAGAAGTGATGTAGGTGCTGTGGGGGACCACAGAGGAAAACATCAAGTCCTCTGACAAAGGAGGGTGTAATTCGGGAAATCTTTGAAAATCTCCCATGGAAAGTCACCCCATCCTTCCCTATGAAGGAGGTGCCACCTGCATTGTGAGTCCTATCTCTGACATTCCAAATTGTTTCTGTCTATCTTGGGACATGATCAAACCCAGCCATAGACCAGCCTTGTTATGTCAGTCCAGCACCCAACCTAGGTCTGCACCCAGGGGTTCCCAACCTAGCCTGCAGATGCCTCCATGTCCAGAACATGCATAAAGATCTGTGTGTGACAGGTAAGGGCAAGGGCTCTTTGGTCCAATTTCAAGCTCAAAGTGGGAGATTATGACTCAGGATTTGGAGGCCACCCCTTTCTTTCCAGTTTTTAGTTTATCCAAAAAATACTTCAGGATAACAAATTGTTCCAGGGGCATTGATGTAAATCCACTTCTCCAGCACATGGAGACTGAAACATCCCAATGACCAAAGTCACTGCCCATCATATGTGAGAGTGGATTGAACTAATCCAGGGACATCAGAGCCAACATGCCCTTCCGCTAGAGACAACTAACAGAGTAGCTTATTGCTAGTCACAAAACAAAGGGTAAGAATTTGGGCTTAGAAAACCACAAGATCATGTCAGAAGACCAGTGTCATATCATGTATCCAAGGGACATTAGTTACATCTCTAGATCTCCTCTTGGACAAGTCTATATGGCATAGATATAAAGGAGGCAACCGATGATATGGACACAGGAGTTTATTTTCCCATTCATTCATCTGAATATTTTGTGAACACTATGCATAGGAAGGATACAGAAAAATATAAGATATGGGAGGCTCGTGTCTTCAAATGTGTACATCACATTTATATTTATGTATTATACATCCTTTCACAGGGTCTCTTTGTAATTACTTTCACTATACAAGCATACATATACTTACACACACACACACACACACAAACACACACACACATTTTATATAACTTCATTCTATCTTCTATTGTCCATCAGTTTCTAAGAATTGTGGGGAATGGGTAGTCTAACATCTGTAGACTAACATCTGTAGAAAAGACACTGGACCATGACAGGGATTATTAGGTACAGTGGTACCTTTTAACTTACAGTAAGAAATATATCCTACCTTGTGGCCCAGAACACACACACACACAAATGCACACCTCGAACTAACAATTCACAAAGCAATACACCCATCACTGATACTGGGTAAGCAAGGACTTAGATATGCATGACCAAGGTAAACCGCAGCTGTATCTTCAGATATGTCTTCTGAAAGTCTAGGTGCTCCTGTGTGGTTAAACATCCTTGAAGCTGCAGTTAGGATGTGCCCTTTAAAGAAACCATGGTGCCAGGACACTTTCCCAGTTCCTGCATGTTCACACTGAGGAAAGGTATATGACCTCAAAGGGCCTTGGCTTCATTATTATGTTCATTTCATTGTGGTTAACCCCCTTAAATGAACTTTTCAAGAGTATCATGAGGGAACAAAACATACCCTAAAAGGAAGATCTGGTCCATCATGATTTCAGAGGGAGAAAGGGTCACCCTATGTCATGAATGTGCCACCCATCTCAAAATATATAACCTTCAGATTCACAATGCAGGACCCACTGTGCTGATACCTGCCGGGGGGGGGGCAGCCCACCCCAGTTTCTCCTTGCTTTGCCAAATACATTTCTACTTAAATCATTTGTGTCTCCTGACTGAATTCTTTCCCTTGAGAAGAAATGGACTGAGAGCTTCCAGCCACAACAGTAAGTGACCTCGGCTCACTAAGGTGTTAGGATCTAACAGTGGGTGTGAAATGGGAATCGCTATTTGGGAGCACTTGATGGGGGTAAATCCTAACCTCTACACTGTGTCAAGAACCACCCAGGACTGGAATTCCATCACTTGGTTCTCAGATCAGTTCATTGTCTGGCATTCTTCTTGAGTTTGTTAAAGGAAACAGGGGGGATGCTGCTGAAGATACTTAGTCCAATCATTTAGGAAATGCCTGCCAATGAAAGGTTAAGAGAAAGCAGAGCCATAAGCCAACAAGGAAAGCTCTGGTATTCAGAAACTGTCAGTATGATTTCTTCGATACAATAAATAAGATTCTTTTGGAACTAATTGTAGAAGCTTCTTAAGCTCTTTGATTACATCTTGACATTGAGAATTTAAAACTCCAAGATGTGGGGGTGTTCCCATTTTGTTGGTTTAGTTTGACTCTTCTGAAGCTTTCTACTGCATTTAATAATTGCAACCTTTACAGTAGAGTCTTGCAGTAGAGATATTTGGTTCCCTTTCACTGATAACTGAGCTTCAGGGTGACTTAAGTTATCACCTAAGTCAGGGGCTAACTTGACTTAGGAGCACAGCATACCACAGACAACCACAATCTATTCCCCACTAGCAATGAGGTCATTATTGACTTCAAACAAGCCAGGCTGAAATCACACCTAAAAGAGTCTCATCTTTGAAGTGGTATTTTCTAGTATTTTCATTGGCAAAGTCTGTATCAGGAATGTGTCTGGGAAAAAGAAAGCACTCCTTGGGCAGAAAGGAATGTAGGATATGGACATGAAGGCTCGGGAAGCACTGAAGGCCTTCACACAGAGGTGCAGAGGGGGGATGGTAGCATCCTGCCTGGGCTTGGTCAACTATAGGAGTCACCAGAACCCACTCCTGCTAATGATTTCCTAGTTATCCTTAGTATCAGGGGGGATTGAAGTCTGTGGCTAAATTTCATGGCCACCACCTAATGGTGTTTGTATGTCTGCCTACAACTGCTCTGAGAAAATGATTTCACCTTGTGATGGTTGGTGTTGCCAACACAACTGAATCTAGAATCACCTGGAAGACTGGTCTCTGGACATGCTGTGTGGAACTATGATGTATTCGTAGAGGTGGGGAGACCTGCCCACTGTGGGTGGCACCATTCCCTGGCTGGGATCCTGGATTGTGTAAGTAGAGAAGGGGCTGAGCAACAGCATGCATGCATCACTCTTTGTTCCAAATTGTAAATGAGCATGATCAGCTCCTGCCGCTCTGACTTCATACCACATTGGGTTGTATCCTTAAAGTTTGAGCCAGAACAACCCTTTTTGTCCTTCAGTTGCTTTTGCCAGAGTATTATATTGCAGCAAGAGAAAAGGGAACTCAGACATGTACCTTAGTCAGCTTTGTTTCAAAGCATCTTGGGCATCTGAGAAACATAGTTTGTCCGTGTCCAGTGGCTAGCTTAAAATGGCAGAGTTAAAATGCAGTCTTTGATGTGGGAACTGACTAACTGGCAGAAAGTTGCCAGGAGGGGTCAGTTCACGCTCCCTAGTCCTGAGCATAGTACTCTGCATACAATGAGGCTTAATCACAGGTAGCTTCGTGTTCTCGTTAGTCCTGAAATCAGCACGGCTTATAGCAGTCAACTCATCCTCCACCAGAAAGATCTAGAAGATGCTGGCCCGTTATTTCCCCATTTGCCCCAGTTCTCCCACTCCAGGTCTGTTTGCAGCTCTTGCCTGGGTCTGAGAAGGCTGTCTCCTAAGCCTGAGTCACCTGCTGTTCGGATGCTGTTAGCCTTCCTTTCAGAAAGCATTGACCAAAGTACAAGAGCAGAAAGTGAGATGGGTAAGGGGTGTCTCTTTCCTGCCCCCTTCCTGTTTAGGTCATAGTACTGCTACTGGCCAATTCTCAATGATGTGCCCCTCCTTTCTTCACCCCTGTGGCTTTCCCTGGGTCTAGGGAGGAAAGAGTTCCTCTTTCCCCCATGGTTGACTGCTTTGGTTAGTCTGTTCATGCCAACATCAGAATGTCTCCATCCAAGTTTTCAGAGTGAAATTCCAGCACCTCCCTAACTGAACTCAGGCTCACTCTTTTCTTTTAATGTAAAGTGTATTTATTTAAAAAAATACAAGTCTGTCTTTGTTTATGGCCTTTCCTTGCTTTCTTTTACTGAAGTGCGGTGTTCCTCTCCACCTCCTCACAGTTCTGGACAGACCAGAGGTCTTGTGAGGATGACATGGAGACAGAGGGAGTAGGGCTACATCCTACAAGGTGTGGGACCTTTAGGGATCCTTCTGGCCATCCTTTGGTCTTTTTCAGTCCTAGAAGTTGAGGGGTCCTTGAATCTTGGTCAGGCTGCATATGGAAAAAAACTTTATGGGTCTAAAATTGAGAGTGTCAGGGGCTCATGTTTTGTTCACCCCACCCTCCCTTCCCATAATAAATATAAAATATTAATTTCTCTGACTTTGCCCAAATGGTAGCTTTGGTTTCTGTTACATAGGCATTAATTACACAGCCACAGAGACACCTCTCCCTTAACTGAGAGAAGGGTGCATTGGGTATGAAGTAAACAGGCAACACAAGACAGCGAAAACTCTCCAGGGGTAGGTAGAGCCTGCTACACTCAGGAATACAACCTGTCACACTGAAATAATCGGCCCACTCTTCTAACCCAGGGCTTTGCCAATTTTAGAACTATCAGCCTCCTTAATTCTACCTCAAAGGGACAGGTTGAGGATTCAGACAGTCAGGAGAGGTTCGGGAGAAGGGTGCCGGAAGCCTCAGACTAGATTCACCTTTCTTAGATGTCCTGGCAATTTCATCTCCAGGTAGATGGTCAGTCATCAGGCAAATTCCATATGGAAATGCAAGGCCAGAGCCCTCTGTCACCTTGCACCCCTATCCTCATCACTAGATCTGGAATTGGGCTTCTGTAGCATTGCACACGGTGATCCAACTGGTCTCAAACAAGAAAGAATTAGGACAGAGCTGAAATCCAAAAGGGAAAAAGGCAGAG